CCCCAAAACCCCAAAACCCCAAAACCCCGACATTCAGGGCTAATATTGAAGCTATAGCTGGATTTTTACAGAAATTAGTTAGAAAATTAAGCATCTTTTGGAGGCAAATTTTGAGTTTTAGGCCTCAAACTAGACATTTTTGAGGTGGACACAGTGGCTTTTTGGGGAAGATCGACCACCTTTGGCTTGGATATCTTTGGTAATACTGGATTTGGAATTTTCTTAGTCACTGGAGCAGCTTTGGTTGGAGATCGAGATTTTATTCTTGCCCTTGTGACTGGTCGTTTAGCTTTTGTGATTAGGAAAGTTGGGTTCGGAATTATTTTAGATGATTTTGAATCATTTTTCTCGTTCTCAGAATCTTCAATATCTTCTTCTCTAAATCTTACTCGATGCTTTGAAGGAGATTTCCTGATAGAGTTTGGAGCTTTAAAAATGCTTTTGATTGGTCTATCCGGCTGACTTAATCTAATCTCTCTAGCTCGAAACAAATTTTGCTTTTGCTTGATCTCCTTAAGCTCTTTTTGCCTTAAAATTTCAACAGACTTTTGGAAATCTTTGTTCTTCTTTCTGTTATCTCTAACCTGTCCGTACTGCCCTGTTCTCCCAGGTGCTATCTTTTTCATCTCAGCATCAGCGATATTCTCAAGCAGGTAAACCTTCTGCATGGCGAGAAGTTCACCGACTTTATTTTTCCAAAATTTAGCTTCCATCCGTAAATAATGGTTATCTTCTTTAATACACAGATAGTCGCTTGTTAAGGTATTAAACTTCTCTTGAAGCTTAAGTATCTTCCTGTGATTCTTGAGCTCTCTCTTTTTGCTAGGAGTAGGATATAGTTCCTCTCCAATAACAGCTGTGTCTAGGTCAGTGACCTGGCTATGTATGTATCCTTCCTGACTCATTCTTGCTGGGCTTACGACTAAAGCTTACTCAGATCAGATTCATTTTGATAGTGTAAACTAACACAAATTATTCAATAATATTAAAAATAATGGGGTTTTGGGGTTTTGGGGTTTTGGGGTTTTGGGG